TTTAAGAAACTGAAAGAAGGCTGTTGTGGCTGGAGCAGAGAGAGCAGGAAGAGGTGACTCAGAGAGACGGACATAACCATGTCACATAGGCTCTTCAAGGCCCTGGAAATAAAGAAGTCTGAATTTTATACTAAATTCAATGAGAAGCCCTTGGTGGGTGTTAAGATGGGAGGTGATATGATCAGATCTATGATTTATTTTGGCGGCTGTTTGGAAAAGGGATTAGAGTGGGACAAAAATGGAAGCTGACAGGACAGTTAAGAGACCATTAAAATAGTCCAGATAAGGGATATTGATTGTTTAACCTAGAGGTGACAGCTGTAGAAATAGAGAGTTAATATGTTTTTAGATGTATTTTAGAGATGGAACTGATTAACTAGATGTGACAAATTGTAACCAGACAACCAAGGGGTCCGGACTGCCTGTCACTACTTCAGCCAATTCAGCAGAGACAGGGTTGAATCATAATGAGCATTTATTCCAATACCACCAGCAGTATCGGGAGAGCCCCAGGTCATGCACAAAAATCTGCTCTGCATCCCACCAGAAGCCCGAGGCTTATATTGGGTAAAAAGACAAAAGATTGATGGGGAAATAGCCGAAGGGGATGCCAAATGGGCAGTTAACAGGTAAGCAGGCTGGAGATGTGCAAAGGCCTGCAGGTGTGCTAAAGAGCTAGGGATCTTCAAAGGGCTGGTGATATGCAAGGGCTGGGGCCTTCAAAGAGCTGGTAGCTCTGGTTCCTGCAACAAAGTTGTTAATCTTTCACGATAATAGACAGCTCCACATGGGGAGGATGGGCTGCATTTCCAGGTGAGTCCCCAGGTCCCAAAGGCAACTGCCAGCCAGGTGCAGGTGAGAATGTGCCTTCTTTAATCAGAATAAAGAAATCACAGCTAACAGAGCATGAGTAATCTGTCTTACAATTCTAGGTGGTCCCAGCATTCTATTACGGCCCTTGTCACTATCAGGCATGGAGAAAAGCCTTTAAATAATTACCCAGGCAAAGCTGTTATACAGAAAGCAGGACTTTACACTCTTTACCTGCATCTACAGGGGCATCTGTTGCTTCTGTTACTAGGAAATAACTAGATAACTTGCCCTCCCCATCCACCCCGGGCTTTTTGGTCTCAAGTTCCAGGTGACTTCCATCCTCTGCTGCAGGCTTGCCTCCTCCAGGTCCTTGACAGCATTTGTTTTCGGTGATGCTGTGGCAGCCCTTCTGCAGGCCCCGGGGTGGCTCAGGGCTGCATGGTGTGGTCATTGCTCTGCAGGCAGAGCAGTGTGCTGGGCCCGGGGAGAGGGATGGCTGTGTTTGTGCTTCTCCGTGTGAACGGGATGCTCCCAGGCCTCAGTGTGCACCCTGAGGGGCCCGCTCCTCTGCTCCCATGAGCACTTTAGGCATTTAAATGCACAGATTGAAATGGCATCCCAGGTGAGCTGAGAAAGACAAACCTAGAGCAATAAACAAGCAAGAACTCTGAAGCCAAAACTAGAGCCAAGTGGTGGCCGGGTTTGGCTGCACTTTGGATCACATGTGTGTTCCTGTACCTGGAGCAGCTCTGAAGGCTGGGCCCCACCTACAGGGGATGGAGGTGAAAACCAGACAGGCGTTAATTTCTAGAAGCCGGGGTCCGAGTGCTCAGGTGTGCTCCGCCCTGGTCTGGGTCACCTCTCCTGGACTATGTGCTCCTGTTGACAGGTGGTGGTGAATGGAGTTGCCTTTTTGCAGTACATACACCGTGTTCCCTTCCACCGCGTGGACAACATCTCTGTCACCGGCGCCGTGGGGCTGACACACATCAGCTTCCAGGTCAGATTGTCCAAATGGCACCGTACCGGGGGCTGGGTGCAGGGGCCAGTCTACTCTGCCTAAGCCCTTTGGGTGGAGCAAAGGCTCCAGCCAATCTCTCACCCAGATGGCTCTGGAGATAGGACATACCTCTGGCTATCCCTGTCCCATCCTTCCTATGTCACTGTCTCTGTCCAGAGCACCTGCCTCAGCTTGATTCCTTCCCTTCTTGCCTGTCCCTCTCTACTCCCACCCTGGTTAGGAGGCCATGGGGTCCCAGAGAGAACCCAGATTGGGAGTCCCACTGAATCGAGCTCAGATCCCAGCTCTGCCATTGTCATCAGCTGTGGGATCTCACACAAGTGAGTCTGCCTCTCCAGCCTCAGTTTCTCATCTGTGCAAAGGGCATAGCCACAGCCTCCCCAGGAGGTATGTGTGGGCTCAACGAGGCGATACGTGTCAGAGGTCACGAAAAGGCCCCCATGGGCCCACACCAGGGTCTATTGGACTCTCTCTGTGTTTTCCCATTTTTGCAGTCAAATGCTCTGCCACTGAGCTATACCCCCTGTTTTCCCATTTTTGAATGTGTTGCCAACATCTACAAGGCCAGGAGCAGGTTTGCACTGTGGAGCTGATGCTGGTGATGGCTGCACAACAGTGTGAAGGCACTGAATGAGCCCTTGGCTGTACACTCTGAAATGGTGAAGGTGGTAAATTTTATGTGTATTTTACCAAAAATTTTCCAGGTGAGGTGATATCACATGGAAACCTGAATGTCTGGCTTTTTGTGAAAACTGGGAAGATTGGGGTAAGCCTGGCCCACATTCCCACAGGGCCCCAGGCGCCTGGAGTGGAGATGTTATTTCCACTTTGGTATTTGAGTGTGCTCCTGAGATGAGAAAAGCACACAGTAGGCCCACAGCAAATATGAGCTCCTCTCTCTTTGGTCCCATCTCTGTTATTTTCTCCCTCTCTCCTACTCTGTCCCTGCCTGCCTGGCTTCCTTCCCATTGTCTAGGCCCCTGCCTTTCCACTCTTCCTTGGCTTATTAAAGCTTCTCTTCACTCCATGTCGCCTTTTGTTTTAACAGGACACCCGTGCAGACTCTGTCCAGAGGATGCAGTCCTACCCCAGTCCCTGTGACTCACCTGAGTCCAAAGAGTGGAAACCAAAAGTGAGTTGAACATGGACACCTGGGAGCTGAGCAGTCA